AAGTGTGACCTTATACTTACCGTCACTGGTCTGCAGAGAGCTGGTTGATCATGTGGTACTGCCTCTCCTTGTTTCCAGTTGCTAAATTACATTACAGGACAGCTAAAATTACATTAAAAACTCTCCTATTACTTTTCCATGCAAGCAACTGCTGTAGTCACCATGAGAGAAGTAGCCCATGAAACTCATTAAGGTTTGTTCACACTATGAAAAAGTTTCAGAACCACTGTACTATAATCCAACCCAACAACACCCCATTTGGATGGCAAATACTGCAGAGAATCCATTGTTGTTTTTTTAAATCCCATTGGATTATAAAAATAATTCATGTAAAATATATCTACTGGTCTTCAGTTTCAGCAAACACACACTTGTGCTTATAAACATTTAAGGCCAAATTTGACTTGGCAGTGTTCATACATTTTCTCCCTTTTCGGAAAGCATTTTTCTTCTTACAGATTATATAAAACTTGTACAAATAGGTTTGAGATACTAGGTAATATTTCAGATTAAAACGGAAACAACCCCCACAGATATTCTATATCATAAAAACAAACTAAAAATCATAGAAGATCAATTTAAAAGGATGTGTACTCAAGGATGGTCACAGTAATTTACTGACAAGATTGAAAGTCTTAATTGTTTAATGATCTCAAGGTATCTATCGCCATCTAGTGAACAACCACTACAATTACTACACTAGTCACTTTACAAATTACATTTTATTTGTTGGAATCACAGGCATGAAACTCATGCTGCCCAAATTTCCCCACTGAAAGCTAACCTATACATGCCTGCAGTTGTACCAGTCTGTACTAAGTGTCCAACATGTCATTACAGTTGTGTCAGATGGGATCTGAATCAAAGATTCCGTTGATGGTGTATGTCAGGGGTCAGCAACCTTCGGCACAAGGCTCATTGGCTGGGAACAGCGAACCGCAGCCACTGGGAGCTGGGGGGGCGGCCCATTCCTGCGGATGGGCAACGTAAACAAAATGTCTCACGGCCCGCCAGCGGATTACCCTGATGGGCCACGTGCCGAAGGTTGCGATCCCTGGTGTATGTGCTGCACCTCTCACGTGCACAGCTATGTTGCTCTTCATAGAAGGAATTTCTGTCACATCATATGAAATTCTTTTGCCATTAAATCCAAGTGTGCATATGAGGTAATTGCTGCCCCATCAACATGATTTCAAACAAGTTTTTAAAGAATAATGTGTAATCCTTCAGTTTTTAGCCAGCACAACACACTTGCGTGGGCCAACCTACTTCTAATATGTCCTCACAGCTAAACCCAATCTCACCAAAATACTATTAATAAAAGTTGTTAATATTGACAGCTTTCCAGTACTTTACACTATATGAATTTCCAGCCTTGTTTGTGTTTTTCACACCGAATCTTTCTGCAAATATATTTAGTGTGCAGCCCTCAACTACAGGATGGTTTGACAACACAGTAAAATGTAGCACTTCAAAATCTGACCTACATCTATTCAAGATACATTCCCTGGAGATATTTCATATCATCTTGTTTACCTATGCATGTATCATCAGGTGCATAATCATAAGAAATACCATTTAATCACATTTCAAAAAAACCTTGTATGTTACTTTAAATTAGATCCCTAGGACTTTTCCTGAAATTATTTTTTCTCATTAACCTCTTGATACAGACAGCCCACAGCTCCTGCTACTAACTGTAATGCAATTTATATTAGCATTAAGTGGCTGGCGAAAACCTAGGCACCAAGAGGTTAACACATCAAATGGTTTAAGACACTCTCTCTTCTAGCTATAGTATTGCAGCATTAACCAAAAAGAATGATTAAAAGAGTTTTTTTTTAAAAGTGAACTGAGTCTAGGTCTGTGGAATAATTACTTATTAACACATTATCATTTCTCCTTACCTATTTACTGCCTACCCTTCCTATCACAGATCTCTCTAGAACACAGCAGATATAATAAGTTTCATCATAATTATATACAGGTATGAAACATAGCTCATTCTGAAAAACTCTGGCCTTTTTAAATAGCTATGTGCAAGCAAACCTTTCTTTCCTATTAAAAAAGAGAGAGAGACAAGAATATGAGTATTAAAAAGGTCAAACAAACCAAAATGAGGTAGAGGTCTTGTATGACTAGCGAGAATATAAAAGAAGTGTGTGGCACTCATGGACTGTAAACTAATTCAGGTATAAATTTGTTCAAAACTGTATTTGTCTTGTAGTTCACTTAAGAAGTTGGCACAATAAGTGTCTGAATCTTAAATACAAGATATTTCCCCAGGATACTAAAACTTTAGCCTCACTCACACCAACCATTCACAATAACCCCTTGGAAGCTTGAAATTTTATTTCCTAACCAAATATTTTCACACTGTTTTATGTAAGGTTAAATGCGGTGGCTAGGCTGCTCAGTTTTTAAAAATAACAAATAAAGGAATATTTGTTTTGATGGGAAGACAGACAGAATAATACAGACTTCATAAAGAAAGAAGAATGAAATCAAGGTTTTTATTCATCAAACTTGTCCGTTTTAAAAAGCTATTTAATGACTCACCTCTCTCCCTTTGTGTGTCACCAAAGCAGCCAAAGGCTTGGCATAGAATCTACTGTAGGAAAACCCCAGACAGCCATACATGCTATTAGCTGTAAGCTTCAAAGCCTTCTGCCTGATATCATACTGAAAAGGAACATAACCAGTACATTAATCACCATAACCACCAAACAGAAGTTGAATGCAATATTATCAAGTACTCACAGCTATTTCTGACATCTATCACCTCTCTAAACCACAAGTGAGCATCTTACAATTTGTTTCTAACCTCCATTTAATATTAAAGTAATCACTCCTATTCTGTAGTCTGACCAATGGACTTAAATAAGGTATAGTGAAGGCAGAGGAGCTCTTCCATAAGACACACCTGTAAATAGAGGTCAGGATTTAAATCCGGCTGTTTCATCAATTGCTTGACTTGTCGCCTTCTCTCCACCAGCTTTCTGATCTCTTTAGGCAAAATTCCCATTTCTAGAGATGGATCTGGTAGTTCTGGAATTTCTTCTTGCACTCCATCCTGTCAAATGATCATTTAGTTTATCAAATATTTGCTTTAAAAAGTAGATTTTAGTCTATTAACAAGCAAGAAGGACGTGAAAAAGTTAGTTAGTTTATTTCTGCAGAGTAAAAAGGAAACTGCACTCATAGTTCAAGACAGCAGAAGTGAAGGTGGTTTTCATGCTTTTCAGCTGTATTAATTTGGTGCTGCAGAACCACTAGTACACCCAGAATTTGCAAGTCTATTTTTGTCTATTCACTGCCAGTACACTAGCAACTCTTCTAATGCACCCCAAAAGACTTGGCTCTCAGATGTCACACTAGAAACAGAAACCAAAGCCTTCAGGGGTATGTAAGCACCACTGCAAGAAGACAGGTTAAAAATGAATTGTTTCAGAGCCGTAGGGACAAGAGTTTCAGATACCAATTCTATTTGAAGGAAAGAGAGACTATGGGCTTGTCTATAAGAAAACTTAGTTTGTGGCAAGGTGGGGTGTAAATCTACCTCACACTAGCTTGCCACGCACTAACTGTTCATGTGAATCCTGCTGCTGCACCCTAAAAGTTCCATAGCGCACTTTGATCTACTTCACTTTGACACAGGAGCAGGATCCAGACAGATAATTAGTGCACAGCAGACTAGTGCAAGCTAGATTTACATCCCAGCTTTCCATGTACCGTTTGCATAAACAAGCCCTAAATCTCCAGGTGAAAGAGTTAGATAATATTAAGTGTGAAGCTTGGAATGTAGCATCTGGAGGAGTGACTATTTCACATGTTGCTTCTCAGGTGAGTAATTTTTGACTTTCATATTTAAATGTTATTGGAAATGGTTATGAGCACTATGTTATTTTGTATGATATTGCCTTCCTGATTCTCACACCACCTCAGAATTTGCTTCTGAAAGAAGGACAATGACAAGCAACATGGCTTCTCATTTAAGCTGTGTACAAAGGGAGTTATTCTAACTTGAATGCTTTGCCAATACAAGCCATAATGAGAACTCCCACAAGTGATTCCCTCTCCCCTTTCCAAGCGCATACATTTTTAATAAATAAAGAATATCAGAAAGACACATATATCATATTTTACACCTCAATTTCAGTGTGATAATTGTGTCCACATTTGGAATTTAAGCACAAAAATACCCTCTATTTTCAATGTTATTCCTTTGAGCTTTGAAAGGGGATGGATATTTGTTTAAAAATTGTGTTCTCAGGCAATACTGCTAATATGAAATTAGAGCAGGGACAAAAACGATCACAAACAGTGGGGGCCTTTGCAAACACTTTTCAGAAAAGAGCAGTTTTTTATATATTATTGTTTACAGCTAAGACCCAAAAGAATGTATTTAAATCAGAGAATAGAATAATAGAATATCAGGATTGGAAGGGACCTCAGGAGGTCATCTAATCCAACCCCCTGCTCAAAGCAGGACCAACCCCAACTAAATCATCCCAGCCAGGTCTTTGTCAAGCCTGACCTTAAAAACCTCTAAGGAAGGAGATTCCAACACCTCTCTAGGTAACCCATTCCACTGCCATCCCATTCCCATTTACCTGAAGTTTCCGAATACACCTATCAAGGAAAAAAGCACTCTTACGTTTCAGGGATTTATAATTAAGAAAACACTGCCTGGCTTTGCAAGTTACAGACCAATATGTAAAGTCAAGGACAGCCTTTACCAACAAACTTCTTGTCGTTATTGGCCTCATAGGGCCGGGGTACCTACTGTGCAGTGGTTTACATATTTACAAATACTTTCTGCTATATGCCCATGGATTTTCTTTGGATCCAAACACTCCAAATTAAGAGATGTACATAATTGTACAGATATAAACCTTAAAGGATTCCAACTTTTGAACTGTGCCTGCATGTGAACATGGTGGCAAAACTACAACCACTTTCATAGGCTTCAATTAATCAGGCATTAGCCTATGAAACAAAAGTGTCAGAAGTGGAACGATACAGTCCTTATTAACTTGAGAAGAATTAACCAAAAGTTTCTATGTTAACGAAGGACACTTATGTATAATTATCACCACAAAAGGAGAAAGAAAAAAATCTAAATGTCCACAGCCCAGAAAGTTAGAGATATTGCTGAAGATGGACTATTCAGAAACGTTATGTTGTTTGATTTAACAGTTCATCCTGATCTAAAAGACAACCAAGAGTCACCCTCAGCCAGGGTGGATAAAAAATGAACAATTTAGAAAAAAAATGAGTTTTTAATTTAAATTAAATTCAGGTTTAGTCTTAAAAAATAAACCTATTGAAAATTAAATCTGACACTAACAACCCATGTCAGAGCCTAAATTTATTATAGTCCATTTACAATAAAATCATTTACAATAAAAACAAAAAACAATCTGTGTTTGCTGGCAAGTTTTAAAGAAAGTCACACCACTGAACTGGTTGAAGTCACGGGCTAAGCAGAGCTTATTGAAGTATTAAACCAGCTTTTGACAGCATAGCGTCTTCTGCGGGTGAAAATAGAATTTTTTTTTTCATTTCAGTTTATTCAACTAGTTCAATTCAACAACTAGCTCACTCAAATTTAAGAAACCAACTGGGAATTGAAAAAGCAGAAAAGCTTGTTTTCTTCTTCCAATCTCTGAATAAAAACCAAGGGCTTGTCTATAGAGCACCAACAAAGTGCACCAGAGGGGTGCGATTTGTAAAGCACTCTAATGTGTTACACTCTAACTGCCCTGGGTAGACTCTGCTGTTGTGTTCCAGAAGGTGCCAAGTTCATGTTAACATAGTCCATTAACATGAACTAGGTACTTTTTAGTGCACATCAGCAGGGTCTACGTGGGGCAGTTAGACCACAACGTATTAGACCTTTACAAATTACACCCACTCTGGCATGCTTCGCTGATGCTGTGCAGATAAGTCCTAGGTGTGAGAAGATCAGATCTCCTAGTTGTAAAATCTTGAAGGACATGGTTTTAAATGCAAAACTGTTTTAAAATCAGCTTTTTTCTTATGTATCCAGCACATTTAAGGTAGTTTTATTTATTTTTTAAAAAAGAAAAAACTAAAATGCTGATTTTGTGAATTTTTAACTGAATCTGAATTGCCACCTAAATAGAATTTCACCCAGATCACATGTAAAAAGTTAATCACCAAGTAAATAAGAAATGCATGATTCACCATTTTCTAACGTAATACAAATATAAAAATTAAGCATCTGAATAAATGCAAGTTAAGCTATATAACTGCTTAAATAACTGTATATAGATATATAGTGTATCCTCCTGATTGCACAAAGAAGGACCAAATGAAGTGTGAAGGATATATTTAGTTGCAAATCAATGTTTTAATGGTTACCAACCAATGAGAATCAACCTTATTTTAGGAAGATAATTATGTTTTGCATTTGTACTTTTTAGTTAAAATTGATGATTTAAAATCATTAGTAAAAATTTGTGATTTAAATAGCTTTGATTTGAATCAATCCATTTTACCTGCACCCCCCAAATACAGCAGGCACAGAACAGGCTTCCTGAATTGACACACTGTATATTCCATCATTGAATCCAACTGAAGAGGCATACTGCTAGTCTGGAGCTCAAGTACCTAGTACCACAAAGACAGTCAAACACCCCTGGTGGCTCCAGTCAATTCATATTCTCCAGTTAAACATTTTTGGTGTTCAGGACTGTAAAACGGAGTATGCCCCATGGAGCATACATTTTGCATCAGATAGCCAATACACTTCAGAAACATAAAACACCAAGTGAAGGTCCAATCTTACAGCTGTATGGATTTCCCCCATCCTCATCTGGTAAATTGCAATTGAAAGGTTTCATAGAAGAAATGTTTTATAAGGAGAAACATGAATAAGGAGAGTGTTTGTTCAGCTGAACAGAAGGAGGGAGTTCCAAGCATAAAAGGACTGATATGGAAATATGCAAAGATGAGCATAGAAGGAGAAAACAAAAGGCAAGTTTAGAAAAGCGCTTGCAAGGAACTGTAGGAAGAAATTAAAACAGAGATGTAGATACGGGTGGAGTGGTGGAGTGACTAAAAGGGGAGAAGGATTAGAAGCATGAACCCAAGTGTGAAGACAAGAAGAAGCCCATGGGAGGAGGACAGAATGGCAAGACAGGAAGTTTATTTCTGTAGTGCTTTTGTACAGATGCAAGAGGACATGCAAGGAGGCCAGGGATGAGAAAAAAAAACACGTTTCATTAGTTTGGATGAGAGATGACAAGGCACAGAAAAGGGATTTAGCAGCAGAAAAAAGAAGTTGTAGAGGAAGAAGAGACAGGATTAACTAAGCCCTCAATAAATCCTCTTGTACGGGAGAGGATAAGGAATGGAACAACATGCCAGGGGTGCAAGCATGATGAGTATTATTGAAAGGAAGTAGATGCAATAGTTACAGATAGCACATTCAAGGAGCTTGGAAGCAAAAAGACAATTCCCTAGATTGCGTTCTTCCTTGCAGCAACGATTGTCCTCCTTGAAGGTTTGGAAATCACCTAGCACATAGTGAGTGCTACCAAAAGTAAAAATAATGATGATGATAATGATAAGCATGTAGGATCAGTTTCCAGCCAGGATGCCGTTACAATTTAATTCACATGAACACACTGAAGATTTGAACCTCAAATCAGAACATTAATAAAGCACACACAAACCTCTGCCCTCTTCTGTGCATCTGATGACTCTCTCTGCACTGTGGTAAAACATATGTTGAACTCCTGGATAATTGAAGGGTACAAGCTGTTGAAGTCCAGAAGCAAAATAAATGTGTCATAAAAACCTGAAATAGAATACAGAGTAGAAGGTATAATACAGTGTGAGGATCCATAGAATTATTCATCCCCACTAGGTACCTGATCCAACTCCCATTAAAGCCAAATGAAAGATTTCCATTAAGTTTCAGGGCCCAATTCAGTAACTATAAACAAGAAATGTGACTAATATGGATGCATCTGTGGTGGGGGAGGAGAAGACTTCACACAATGAAGGGGGGAGATTTGGGAGAGGGCCGTGAGTGTCATAAGTTTTTGCCGGAAAAGAAGTGACCCCCACTCACATATTACATGGCTGAACCCAGACTAAGCTGAGTGTTGCCAGTCTACACTGTCCCCTGTACAAGCTTGAGAAGCAGCTTGGATTCAGAGACCAGTGCACTATGTGATGTGTCTAATCAACAGTCCTAAGAAAAGGTTCAGATGTGCTATTAGCCAGTGATTAATGAATATCAGAAGTGGAACGATCTAACCCCTCTTAACTTGCCAGGGTTAAACAGATAGCTTCTGTATTACTGTAGGATGCTTTTGTACAGTTATCACCATATATAGGAGAAACTAAGAAAACCTTAAGCATCCATTAGCAAAATATAGACGCTATACACAATCTAAACACAAAAAACCCTAATTTCTCCCTGATGTTGCATGAAAGATATACTACTCTACTGGCAAACAAAATTAAGCTTTTTTTCCTGTTTGTTCCCAAAATGGAAAGCACATATATAAAGTTACTTCTGCATCTATATCCTTACAAGAAAGTTGTGCTACATTGCTTCTCCCCCTCCCCACACCTTCTCAAGATTCTGGCCTTTCTAATCATCATCATTCTGAATTTTTTTCCTTTCATATACAAGGGGCTTGGGGATTTTCCCTGCCTTTTGCTTTGAAACTTTTTGAACAAACAGCAATGTAACAGCATTTTAGTTTAGCTGGAGCTAACCTTCACATTTATGACCTGATACACTGTTATGAGCAGTAAAATTGCCAAATCTTACCCACTTTCGGATCCAAGACTAGACCCCCAGCATATGCTGCCTTCTTTCTCCCTATCTTTGATTTATTCTGATCTTCAACACCTTCATCTTCATCCACCTGTATTTGGCATAAAAAATTCCGACATCTAGCCTCTTTTTAAAATAATATCAAGTTTCTAATTTAGAAGTCTTAATTTACAAAAGAAAAATTGGAATGAATGGGATAAGAATGGAGTTTTTTCTAACAGACATCTACTACATGAATATTTTTATCAATATCCTGATTAAGGCTCTTTCCATCACAAAATTGCACTGCTCTGGGAAGAGACTGATCACAAAAGATTACACAGTCTTTTAGGAATCGTCACCATGGAACAGAGCACTAGTCTATGTTGTGTGGCACAGACTGACACCAAATGGTGGAGAGAAAGTGAAGTTATTTTAAAAGAATATTCCTGAATTAATTTAAGCCCAAAATCCAGTTTACGAAAATAGTGTTTTTAAAAAAACCCAACACACTTTAGATCAATAGCAATGCTTGCATTTTTTTTTTATTCTGATAAGAATTTTTTTTATGAATTAAACATTGCCTCAGTGTAGTAGTGCAAGTAAGGGAGAAAGTGAAACTGATTATAATCAAACCATGGAAGTGACTGCTGCTGTTGGGCATCTCAGCACCGAGAATGTCCCTGGTATAGTCTGAATCTGTTCTCCTGATGCTGGAGTCGACATGGGTGCTTCCACTACCAGACCCAGTATGAACAGAGCGAGTTGCACGACAGTTTGCTCCTTTCTGCTCATGCTTGGTGGGCTTATCACACAACAACTTTTTCCTGTGCCTCTCTTTGTGTGAGGACACTATGCTCCTTCCTGAGCTCCTACCCCATTGTTTAGAGCAGCCCTTTTTGATGCCCCAGTGTCAATTTCCCTACTGATATCTTTGAAGATACCTTTCTGCCTGAGGGACCACTGGACAACACAGGCCTGCCCATTAGACAGGTCTTGAAGCATAGCTCTTCTGGAGCCAATGCCACCTTCATGGATCATTCCACAAGAAAGAGCTTCAGCCTCACATCTTGCGACTTGAAGTTGTTGCAGAGAAAGATAGGCAGACCAAGCACCTGCTAGGGATATGGGACTCTCCCAGGCAAAATAGGCACTTGCTATGTGAGTCTTTCAGGAGGATTAGCCCTCAAACTTCCACACGTAGTAAGCAGGAACCAAGCTGATGTCCAACCTGCTAGATTTAGCTCAAGCTAAACTCCAAACCTTCTAAGAATGAGGCGCACCGGGTACATGTGCACCCCTGTACACCGCTAGTCAAGAAAAATCCAGT